TAAATTAATTTGTTGGACAAAAACATACATAATAATTGCACAAAAAAAATATGCACCCTGTTTGCTTAAAAACAAACACCGATCATTTTGAAATGACATTAACAACATAAATATTTATTCTAAAATTTAATATTAACACATTATGAATTTTTAAATGCGATAGTCTAATTTCAACAAAACAAAATTTTACGTGATTTTGAATAGTTTTTTTAATAAAATTTTAAACCTCGTATTAGTATTAGCATTAATTTAGGATACCGGTCTATTTAGTATTTTATGGGCTAGACCAAAACTCATTGGTCTCTTCCAATTGAAATTTACCCGAAAGCAATAGAGTTTTCCGGTCACGAAGAAAAAAACGGAAATAGTGTAATGTAAAAAAAAAATTTTTTAATGATTATAAATTCTATAAAAATGAGTTTATTTGAATTATGTACTGACTGTATTTGGTAGAAATTATTGTTTTGATATTCGCAAGATTTCGAAAATCAATTGAATAAAAAATAAAAATTATTAGTTTCATACAACAAAAAATCAATTCGTTCAAGAAGGGATTTTGAATTCCAAACCGGAAAAATCCCAAAAAGTATGTCTTTTTGTGCCCAAATCTTTCTTTGATTGGTGGCCACGAAATTAATATTAAAGTTTTTTTACTATTATTAAAACAAATTACGATGTGTGTTTCATATTCAAAAGTTGTGTCATCTATAAACTAAAAATAGCCTGGCGAAGTTGATTTGTGCGACAATATAATTTGTATTTAAAGACGATCTTTCAATATATTCGTCGGTCAATATTGTTTTAACTATGCATTCATTAATGTCGTTTTTATCATTATACAAGGCCTTCTTATTATTTGGTACTTTCACAACATTCACTTTATCATGTTCTCCAGTCAATGAAATTATATTTCAATAAATCTACAAGCCAAACAAAATTGGCGAGTTAATGTAGACTATGGTTTTCTGTAAGAAAGATTTATTTGCTATATTAATATAATAATATTTTGAAGTTTATTCAATGAGATATTTTAAATTGAATAGTTATCCGGGCACAAAGATCACTACTTATAACAGTGGTAGCAATACACCAAGTTTTAATGAAATTTACTTGTTGAACAAGTCAAGCCCTGGCATTTATGAGATTCGGCCATTTTGGGATTTTGATCTAGCTACTGGTAAATTGTTATAATTACTTCTAAATGGTTTATTTACCTCTCAGTCAATAATCTTTTTCGATAATTAATTTGTAATTTGTCATTATATTCATTGTAATGTAGCCGTTGAAATGCCAGTTGGAAGTGTAAGCGTCGGTGACGCTTTCAAAGTTAATACTATGTTAGTCTTTAAACATATAATCCTTCTTCCACATTCCTATCAATCGATTCTAATTTGTATCAAATTTTTTCTTTTTGACCCTAAAGCAATGGCAAGGATAACCAAAAATTTTCCATCGAATGTGCTATCTGTGATATTTCAACAAGTTCCACGGACTGGATACCATACCACACTACATGCTCGATAAAGGTGAAAATTTCAAAAATTCAATGCTAATAATAAATAACAGTTATTAATAAGTCGTTCTAACGCACATCCTCAAAAATA